GGTGGGGAAACAAGCCTGGACCCAGGAGGAAGTCATGCAAATTCAAATGTAAGATAATGTGTATTAATTGTGTTCCTTACTTATGGTAACATTCAAATATTGCCTTTAAAGGTAATTAGATTAATGGTTCAACATTTATAATTTGTTTGTTTGCCTCTGATAAGCTAACCAAAGGCACTGCATGCCTTATGGGCTTGGCATAAGCTGTTTTATTAAGAACAAGAAATAAATCATCTCTCAGTCTGGGCTCTTACATAATATCTTATCCTACATAAATTCTCAAATACATTGTTGTTTCAATGACTTTATCCCATTTCCTGAGTAGTCTAAGTTATCATTTAAGCTTCCAATGGGCTAAAATAATCAATGTCAAGTTATGATACCAAAATTTATAGTGCCCAAACATAATAAACCCATGATAAAATATAAGGTGTAAACATGGAACCACTAATTTTTTTTAAATACTAGAAAATATGAGCCCTAGTTTAAAAACTCCAACAGCTAATGCTTATGCGTATCCGCTACATGCACTGTGCTAAGTGGTGGCCAGAACAGGACTGAAGAGATTGGACAATATGCCCCCAAAGCCCGGATCATAGAGCTAGTGAGTAGAACAGGTGGGAATTGAAACTGGGTCCATCTAAGGTCATGTGCTAAGTTCAATAACTTTGTATAGAAAGGTCCAACATATGGTACCTCTGAATAGAGGATAATACACCACTATCCACATGAGAAAAGCCCCCAAAATGTTGGCCAACTTTAGTATATAAACTGCTGAGGTTAGTCTGATGTCTACTTGTAATTATTTTATTCAAATTTTTCACATAATTCTTTCATAGAGAGTTTACATCCCTGGAAACAACTTTTGAGTCTCTTAATGGTTCTCCAGCTTGTAGTAACCCACATCCACCCAAGGTGTTTTCTACTCTACATATAATGCTGTCCCTGGAAATTTTAATGTGAAACTTCAGTGCTTATTCATGCAACATCAGCACAGGTAGTTTTTAGGTGCTTCTGGTGGAAGTGTATTTTTCTTGTCCACAAGTAAAAGGACGTACTACTTTTTAAATTGATCTTTCAAGACTTGTATACAATGACATCTGAGACTTGTATTTACGTCATTATATTTCCTGGAATAATCAACAAATCAGTGTTAAATGTCTTTGTCCCATTAAAAAAATTCATCTCATAATCTCTAGATGTTCTAAGTTACCATTGCACGATTGTCAAATTAATTTGACTTCCTTAAATCGAACTGTGTGGTTCAGAATAAAGTAATTCAGACAGCTGCCTGTTAAAATGGATGAACCCTTTGCCCTTCTACTTAAAACCAATAGCTCCACTTGTACACTGGGTCCACCCGCCCCTTTTCCTGGTCAGTGCCCGCCCTCCTGCGTCACGGACTTTTTCCACTTTGCAGGATCATCCCTGTCAGCACGGAAGCACGTTCAATCAGCCCCCGGCTTTATAAACCACCATGGCAGTCCTCCCTTGCCCGTGGTTTCACATCCCACGGGTGAGGTGACCTGCGGTCAACTGCAGCTTGAAAATATGAAATGGGAAATTTCGGAAATAAACAATTCATAAGTTTTCAATCACATGGCATTCTGTGTGATGAGATCTCGTACAGTCCCACTCTGCTCTTCTCGGGATGTGAATCATCACTTTGTCTGGCGTTTTTATGCAGTACATGCAACGTGCTTGCTAGCCACATAGTGACCATCTCAGTGACGAGGTCGACAGGCATGGCAGCACAGGGTCCGTGCTCGAGCACTCGCATTCTACTTAATAAGGGCCCCAAAGCACAAGAGGAGCGCTGCTGGCAACTCTAATATGCCAAAGAGGAGCTGAAAGTGCTTTTACAAGTATATAAAGAAAAGGTGAAAGGTCTCAACTTAATAAGGCCTTTTATTATCTCACATCATCAAAAAAGAAAAAAGAAGAAATGGTTGAAAACAGTATAGTAGGAAATTTTGAGAGAGACAGAGGCCATATTCACATAACTTTTGTTATGGTATATTGTCATAATTGTTCTATTTTATTACTAGTTATCGTTCATCTCTTCCTGTGCCTAATTTATAAATTACATTTAATTACAAGTATGTATGCATAGGAAAAACCATAGTGCATGCCGGGTTTGGTACTATTCATGGTCTCGAGTACCCAAGGGGGGTCTTGGAACGCATCCCCCACAGGTAAGGTACACCGTTCTCCACCTCCCACAGTCCCGCCAGCTCCTGCCTCACTTCTGTTATCTTGGTTGTAGAAATCCTTGAAAGAGTTCTCTATATTTCCACTCATGTTCTTTCTTGAATGTACTCCGATTACGCTTCCAGCTTTACCACAGCACTGAAATGACTCTCTCTTTAGATGGTCGATTTTCTGACCTTGTCTTATTCAGCCTCTCAGCAATATTTGATTCCCGTGATCACACCCTCCTTCGTGAAGTTCTTTCCTGGGGCGCCTGCACTCTGTCTCTCTTAGTCCTCCTACCACGCTGGCTCTGCCTTCTCCGTCTCATCCCCGCAACCTCTAAAGCCAAGCCAGGGGGGCCAGGGCTCCTGTGTGGGAATTCCTGCCTTCCTAAGTGACTTTACCCAATTCCACCACTAATATATACTCTAATCATTTTAATCCAGTCCTGGCCTTTCCCCCAACTTTAGACCTATATCTTCAATCACCCAATAAGCAATTTAAACTTCAAAATGTCAAACAAACAAAACACACTCTTGAACTTCCTCTTCAGGTAGCTCACCCAGCACTTTTCCCAGTTCTCTGAATGGCATTCTTTCAAAATATATTCAGGAACCAGTTACTTCTGTTTCCACTGCCACACCCTTATCCAAGTCACTCGCACCCCTACCCCCACCTGCATTACTGAATACATTCCTGAACTCCTCTATATTCTATTTGACATTTAACTAGTAATCATTACACAATGTAAACAGATCACAGCACTAAAAGTATGGAAACCCCCTTGGCTTCCCATCTTACTGAGAGTAAAAGCCACAGTCCTTACAAAGACTTTCAAGGACGCATGTGATCTGAACACTCTTCCCCCTCCCTCACCCGACTTCATCTCCTACCCCACTCTCCGTCTGAACACTTCAACCATACACGTATCTAATGCTATTCCTCAGACATGCCCAGCACATCACAGCCTTATGGCCTGGGTCTTCCTCTCTCCTTTTCCTGAAGATGTCTTCCTCCACAGAGTAGCACTGCTTATCGCCCCACCTACTGCAGGTCTCTATTCAAAAATTGCCCATTTATGACACTTCCCTGAACTTCCCCACATAAAATTGCATCTCTGAGGCTCTCTCTTTGACCTTGATTTTTTCATGTCACTTATTACCATGGGACATACTATATACTCATCACTTGTCCACTGTCTGTCTTTCACTACTCAGAATCAGACAAGAACTTTGTGTGCTGCTGATTCACCACTGCCTAATAGTGTATAGTGCATATTAGACACTCAGTGAATCCTTACTGAATGAATAAGTCAACATTATCATCAACAGCATTATTGGTGTTATTGTTATTAACTAAATGCCTGCGCCTAAGGAGATGCAGGAGAACATTGTACACAGTGCTCTAAGAGGGACTGAAATGGCACAGAGCAGGGTGCGTGGCCTTGCCTGGGGTCGGGGTGGGTGGAAAATAGCCAGGACTTACTAGAAACCCTGATACGCACTTTCCTTGCTCAGGCCAGACTAGGACAGTCATTTCATACTTTGGGGTTCGGGCTTTAATGAAAGTTAGTAGCACATGGTCCCAAGTAGCCTTTATGCCTTTACAGAGCACTTCCCTTAGAAAGCCTCGCGTTATTCTACCTCATCGCCCATGTCCGAATCCACAAAAATGGTGTATGAACAACAAACAGAAGGGAAAGTTGAAAAAAAGGTAAGGAGAAATGTTGTTTTCTTAAATAAATCATTAAAATATTATCATTGTCATTAATTCAGTATATCACATCAGTGTTATCTTCTTTTTCCTCGTGTTTCCGCTGTATCTCTATCGAACTCAGTTTTTAAGTAGAAAGAGAATGTTCACCCAACTGGTAACTTGAATAACCTCATCACAAGGATTCGCAATAAAATAAATTTCAAGGTCTTATCATTTTGCATTAAAGCAGTGTATTGCATAGATGACCAGTTCCTTTGAAAGATGCACAAGTTAGTGCTTGTCATTTTTTCAAATGGGAACAGCATTCTAATGTCACATTAAAATGTACAGATTTAGAACATGCAATGCTTGTGGAGAGAAAAAATATATAATAAAACAAGCTGATATGTAATATTTGAGAAAATTAGTGTGGCAGAATATTAAATAAATAGAAAGTTAATAAGGCAAATAAATTAAATAATACAGGGATCTAAGAATTAATCTGTCAGTTGATAAAATTTCAGCATATCTGCTTATCAGAGCAGAAGTAGAAATTTGCATGGAGACAGAAATTTGAGCAGAATAAAAAGGTAACTCAAAAAAGGTCCAAGTTCAGAAAAATTTTATGTTTTATAAAATGATCTTAAATACTATTGCCATTTGCTGTAAGACTTAAGTTCATTCTATTTTCTTGCACCGCAAGTCCTTACTTTTTCAGTTTCATCTATTATAAATAAGATAGTTTGTAATTCTTTACGGCTCTGTGACTTTGAAATTTAAGATTAACTTGCAGTGAAAAAGTTTTCCCAATATATTAATATCTTAAAATCTAATGGAAAATTAGATAAATCTCATAATTATGCTTTAAATATCTGAAATGTGTTTTTAAAAGTAGTTAAATAAGAAGAAAAAACTTAATCTGAAACGAATGGAAGCAACAGATACAAAATAAGTGATTCAAGGTGTAAAAGTCGGGGGGTGGGGGTGGGAAGTAGGTCAGGACCTGTGCTAATTCATTCAGCTTATATTTACCTAGAATTTTATTTTAAGTATTTACTTCGCCGAAATCAAATTTAATTTGAGAAGTTGCCCACCATATGAGGTCAACTTACTTTACAATGGTCATACTGGAGCTGTAAGGCGGGAACGTCCCCTCCGATAGGCATTTGTTTCCGGAGCTCCTCATCCTTCATGTTCAGCCATTTGACCAGCTCTTCCAAGGACATCAGCAACCGGTTCCACTTCTCAGCGCTGGCTTCCAGGTGGGCCCTGTGGAGAGGCAACGCTGACCACGTTTAGATGTCTGAACTGCATCCGAAAAATTATATGCATTTCTTTAGCCTAATAATCTTGTACGACTAAGTAATGTTTACATCCAAGAAGGAGGCTCACTCTTTTTAAAAAACGAAATAACAATAACAATAATAAAATTATAATTATTTCAATACTATTGACTATACTCTGTAAGCAAGTTATTCTGTGAAAAAAGTTATTTGAATTCAGAGAACATGTTGGTACTATCTATCAATATTTTGAATGCACACTTCACCACAAAAGCATAAACATGAGGCTTTTAAGAAGAATGGCCATGACACAATGTAAAATTGAAAAAGTTTCAGTAGTTTATGTGTACTATCTATCTATCCACACTCAGAACAATTTTTTTTCTCATTTCATCTATATACATGAAGAGAGGGATAGAGAAGAAAGAAATTATATGTATGTACAATATCTAGAAAGAAATATACCAGCTGTGGTTACTACTGAGAACATAGTAAATATTTATTTTTTATATAATTTTATACTAATTGAGTATTTACAACAGGCCTATATTATTTTTCTTTCCAAAAAAAGCTAATTATATTTTTAGAAAAGGAAATTACTAATGCCCCTATTTTTCTTGAACCCAAATAAATGACTGAAAACAGAACATCACCAACGTTTTCGTAAAAAGTTGGAAAATATAAGGCATTCCTTAGACAGAATACCATTTGACTAAGGCTGACTGACGTCCAGTGACAAATGTCCACTGTGAATGAAAACAATTGAGCAGAAATCATTGATCACAGTACTTCACAGCCTGATTTAAAGGTAAATCTTCATTTCACAGCAAAAGACATTTAGACACTTAGATTATGGACTTCACAATCAGAAAAGCATGTTTAGGAAATATCTTTTTATGTGACGAAGGCATCAAACATCCAAGCCCTTTGAGAATATTAATGTAACCGAAGCACAGATTTGCTCGTTGTTCTGCTAAGGATCTTGGAGAAAACCCACTTATCCAGTGTAAGCCCACACCACACGGGCTGGATATGAAACGACAGACCCATCAGAAATGACTGCAGAGGCTCAAGAAATCAGCATTTACTCAATCCTGCCTCACCCCAGTGGGCAGACTGTGCATGGGGACTTAAGCGCTAAACCGCACAAAATGGAATTACATTGACCTTACAGATCAAAAGGGGCAAGGCAGATGGAAACAGACGTAAGCCTTGTTACACAACAGTGTCCGAAGACTAAAGACTCTGATGAGAAAAGATTTGGGGCAACTCGAGGTACAAGAAATCTCCGTTAGTCAGGTTTCATGTCCTCTCAGACAACAATTCTCACCTTGACACTGGTATTAGGATTCCCACTCCCACAAAGCTGCTCTTTTACTAAGAGGTAACAGGCACAGCCACTGCTGAGCCTCAGATCTACCAATTCCTTCCTCGTGGACACCTGGTCTACTTGGGGCTCTGTCACAAAGCCGAGAGCTCCGCTCCAGATCATTCAAACACGCATTTCCCCTCTGACCACGTTAGGAGGTGCTCCCAGAAACAGATCAACAGTATCTTAAGTCTTCGTTAAAAAGTTCATAATGTTCTCAGAAGAACTATAAATTGCTAATCTCTAGTTCATCTCCATTTCATAGAGTAATGACCGTAGTCTATGAGCCAATATTCTTGGCTAAAAGAAAAAAAAATGGAGTCCTGCATATCTCTGAAACAGCAGGAACCAGCATTTAGTCACATACCAAAGACCAACTGTCCTGCACTCTATTTCTAGTGCCACTGTCAGCTGGCTCATATAAAACAAACTAAAACAATAAAAAACAATTTTAAGTATACAAAGAAGTTTAAGGTATTTTATAATTCTTTGGGAACTGGATGGTCAAAATTCTTTTTTTATTCTCTTGCACTTATGATTTTTGCTAATCATCCTACAGGTGCTATAATTAACTCACTTTACAAAATTTTTTTGAGTTGCCTCTTTTTTATAATTAGGTCTTTTTAAAAATTATTTTTCAATTACAGTTGACATACATTATTATATTGGCCTCAGATGTAAACCATAGTGATTAGACATTTGTATACCTCACAAAGTGATTGCTCCAATAGGTCTAATACACATCTGACCCGTACACAGTTTATGCTGTATAAAATTGTTCTTTAATGAGATTCCAATTCTATTGAAACACCAGCTTTTCTGTGTCCATTTTGATTAATTTTAGGACAAATATGTAATTACCTATTCCTGATAAATGATTTTACTTGTCACAGAGCAGAACTAAATAATTTTAATTGCATTAACTGAAAATTCTTCCTGACAGTTAAAAATGATTTTGCCGTATATTTGACTAGCCTGATAAAATTTCTTTCCAGTACTTTTAAGTGTAGTTTTTTAAAAAGACCACTAGAAATCAGAGTAGAAATCAGAGGTCCTTAGTAAATCAAGAAGTGCTGGAGTGTCTCTGTGTGCAAAAACACTTGTGCACATCCTGACCTCTTAGTTTAGATTATTTGGTCCTGCATCTTCAGTGTCTGTAGCTTACTTCTTTAATCAATAACAAGCCAGACATTACTTTGATTTCTAGTTACACACTCACTGTATTGAGCACACAAATGTCTTTTTCAATGCAATTCACACTCTTTTGACTGAATGGAAATAATGAAATTGATCATTGGAATAGATAGCACTCAGCACCTGAGGAACTATTTATAAAGATGAAGGTAATACTTTTATAAAGAAGATACTGAAACAACTTTGAAATTTAAAAAAAAGATAACGTTAGTATATGTACTTCTCTGCATCTTTTCATTTTCTAGAGTAAAAAGCAACTTGATCTGGCAGAATCTTTGCCTGGAAAATCTGTTTTGGTTATTCTCCAATAGACTATAACTACGTGTTTAGTGGATTACTACCATATGCCCAAATACATGCATGCTTCCGTAGTAGCCTTCAGTGTTCTAGTTTCAATTTAATTCTTTCATCTTTCAAGATGAAAGCTTTTTCATTTTGGGCCACGGGTTGAATGCTTTGCAAGAAGAAACCTTAAATCTGTGTGTGGTGTTAATTGTACTTTCTCAATTTGACTCTAAATATTTTAAAGCTTAACACCTCCCCAAGACTTTAGAACCAGTCATCAATCATGTTTTCAGAATTTCACTTAAAACATTTCTGTATTTGACACATATTCAAGGGCACTTACATTTTGGATAATTGACTCATTGTCCAAACTCTCACCTGCTTCAGTTTATTCTTTGGGCTCTTGACATGGGCTAAATAATAGGTACTTTTACTGAATGTATTGTCAACCTAGGATAATGTCTACTATATAATATGCTTTATAAAAATTCCCTCTTTTTAGACTGAATCATTTATTTTACAACTGTTTAAACATTTTAAATGATAAATTATTTATAAAATATGCAAAAGTTGTTAAAAGGTAAAGATTCATAAAAATAATAATTATTTAAATATAGTAGAAAAATATCCTGCCATTTACTTTATTTTTTTAAATGTTTTGTTTTCTAAATAGTTGAAATTCAACATTATATTAGTTTCAGATGTATAGCAGAGTGGTTAGACATTTATATAACTTATGATGTGACACCCCAAAAAGACACTATGACACTATATGACACTGTATGACAATATACATAGTTACTACAATGTTACTGATTACATTCCCTATGCTGTGCTGTACTTTACATCTGAATCTGAGAGAGAGAGGAAGGAAAGAAAGGGAGGGAGGGAAGGAAGGGAGTAAGGAAGGAAGAAAAGAAAGGGAAAAAGGAGGAAGGAAGAAAGGAAATGAGTGAACTATGGAAGAAACTATTTATTAATATTTATTGTAAATTACCAGATGTCTCTACCTTTCAATGTTTCTTCAAACAAGTTTTTAGCACTTCTCCTATTACGCAGATGTGAAAAATAGAGGAAACTTTGTGAGTGAGTAGGGAGTATTTCTTAAGATAAAACACCACTGCTGTTGTTTTTCACTTATTCAGTGCAAACAAACATTTTGGGAGCAACCACTCTGATATCAGACATAGCAAGTTAGGTCAAGTTAGGTGAAAAACAAGTAAACCAAGGTACTCTGACTAGGAACTCTAACGACAACTCTGTGGCTCAGAGAAACGTGCTCAGAAGCCATGGTGAGAATTTAGAATCTGAACTGAAGTCCAAGCTCTTTCCACTATACCACTTCCATCATGGAGAGCAGACAGAAACCACTCAGATATATTTGCAGACATTAGAAAAACAAGTCTACCAAAGAGTATAATGACCTGAAGTAACAGGAACAAAGACATACTATCCCCTATGATGTAAGGACTGCACAGAATTAAGCGTCCAATTTGGCTTTCTCACTACAAATCAAATTTATTTTTAGTTTATGGTAACACCCATAGATTATAAATTAACTTATAACAAAAGAAAATACCTTGGTTAGTACAAGAATAACCAATAACACTAAAGGGGGACTTTTCCTGCTACCAGAAAGAGAATTACGACCCACTAGAAGAAAAAAAGTGAGGTCCTCTGAATTCAGTCTGTGCTGAAAGAACGCTGGAGCTGGGCTTCCAATATGGTAGCCACCAGCAATACGTGGCTATTTCTATTTAAATTTAATTAAAATAGATACAATTTGAAGTTCAGTTTATCAGTTGCATTAGCTGCATTTCAAGTGCTCAGCATGCCACATAAGGCTGGTGGCTACCATGTGAACTATGCTACCACACAGAACCACAGCCATCATCGCAGGAAGGTGTACGGCAAAGCGCTGAACCTGGGGCAGGGGTGGGGGTGTGCGGGGAAAGAGAGAAGAGCAGCGGAATCTTCTTCTGTTTGATTTGGGGAAAAGAAATTTTAGTAGTTTTACAACATGGTGAGCAAAAATCAATCACCTGAGGTTAAAAGTGGAATCGGTGACATTGTAAAATCTGGTAACACTAGCTATAATGATGATGTGAAATGTTAATCTTCTCTAACGGCTTTTTAAA